CGTCCTCGACGGACGACGCGATGAGCTTCGAGTTCAGCGCGGCGGTCAGCTACAGCTCCGCGTCGCCGGCCAGCATGGTGTTCTCCGACGGCCAGCTCCGGGCGCACCAGTTCCCGGCCGTGCGGTCGTCGTCGGCGGCGAGCAGCCATGTGGCGTCGCCGGTTCGGAGCTGGAGCTCCTCCATGGGCGGCAGTGGCGGCGCCAAGGGTGGGTCGTCAGGCGGCGGGAGCAAGAAGAAGCGTGTCAGCTTCAACGACGGTGGCGCGGGGCGGGCGGCAGCGGCGACGGCGGCCAACGCCGGCGACCAGCAGAGGACGAGAGGCGGCGGCTTGCTGGGGTGCATGGGATCAACGTGTACGTGCGGGTCGTCACGTAACGAGGTGGTGGAGCCGAGCAATAATGCCAACCGTAAGGTCGTGGCCGCCGCCTGATCGAGCTTCTGCATGTTGCGACTATACTTAAGCTTAATGGCTTATATTCTGAGCTAATTTAAACTGCCGTACAAGGTTTCAGCATGAGTTACACTCGATCGGCGTCGTTAGTTATGAATTGGTAATTAATTTCATTTTGGCTGAAGCTCGTATGATCGACGCATGTGATGGAAGAATAATATATAAGATGGTGAACATGTATTATTGTGGAACAATAGGGTGATCGATGCATGTCACGGAAGATAAGTTGTTTGCTTTTCGTTTTTTTCAGTCTACTGTATATTCCCTCCGTTCTAAAATATGTCAACTTATGGACATGTATAAAGATAGAGTCTAATATGAGCTCTCTATATTAATTAATGTCACTAGAGACTATCCTCCTACAATAGTAGAGACGATAAGATTTCTAAACCATTAATGCATAAATATTTTTTATTGTACTTCTTTCCTTTTCTCCACGCTCATGCAACAAACTTTCCGTTAATAAATGCTAAAGAGTCGAGGGCATGTACAATGGAGTCTAATAACAGGCTCTCTTCGTTGTCATACAAAGTAAATTTGGTGACGTGGAAGAAAGAGAGGGAAGGAAGGAGAAACATCGTTGCTATGTATGATAATGACATAGAGTCGACTCTTAGCATTTATTAGGAAATTTTTTTTGCATTGAGTCTAATAAAGGAAAGATGACTAGTAAGAAAGTATTTTGGTACATTAATGGTTAAAGACCGTAACGTGATAGCCTCTAATTAACGTAGAGACCATACCAGTCTCTACCTTTGTACTTGCCCTAATACTCAATTAAACACTAGAGCTAGTACATGAATACTTATTGACAACTATTATATGGATATATACTAATTACAACTAAAAATGTACTATTTATGTATTATATATTAAAATCCCATTAGTACTCCTAAATCACCATGTGACGCTGTAATAAATTAGAGAAATTCTTACAAATTCTGGGAGAAAAAAAAGAAAAACATATATCCATCAATTTTTACTTAAATCATGGACCCATTATTTTTATCCATTAGATAAATTAGAAAGTGCCAAATTTCCCTTAAAACCATGTCTTACTTATTTACAAAAGGAAACAATTGTACATGTTCAATAAACAATAAAGTCGATATGAATATTTTATTGAATTAGTGATGTATTAGACTTATTTTGATCACATGGATGCATGATATCTCATAGTGCGATAATAAATAGTAGCGATAGACGAGTTTAAATATAACAAGATAATGTTAGTGCGGTGAGATGAAATTTATTTTGTATTTTTTTAAATAAACGATAAATAATATGCCCACATATCTTCGCGGGCTTCCTTCGTTCGTGGATTATGGCTTATTGTTGAGTGAGGGAAAACAGGGCATATAGTAGGGACCGCCTATGCATCACTCGGGTGATTTTTGAGAAAAAATCACCCAGATTTTTTCTTTCCTTGGATTTGCATCCAACAGACTACAAAATAAAATAACTAATACAAATTTACTTACACAACATTTTTTTTCAAAATTACAGTGCACTTACCTGTCATATCAACTAAATTTACATATGTAATTTTAGTTATATAGGACTGTAATTTTATATTTGAAATAAAATAACTAATGCAAATTTATTTACACAATATTTTTATCAAAATTACGTGCACTTACATGTCATATCAACTAAATTTACATATGTAATTTTAGTTATATAAGACTGTAATTTTATATTTTAAAGAAAATAATAAGTACATATTTACTTACACATTATTTTTATCAAAATTACAGTGCACTTACATGTAAATCAACTAAATTTACAAATGTAATTTTAGTTATATAGGACTGTAATTTTATATTTTAAAGAAAATAATAAGTACATATTTACTAACACATTATTTTTATCAAAATTACAGTGCACTTACATGTTAAATCAACTAAATTTACAAATGTAATTTTAGTTATATAGGACTGTAATTTTATATTTTAAAGAAAATAATAAGTACATATTTACTTATACATTATTTTTTATCAAAATTATAGTACACTTACATATCAAATCAACTAAATTTACAAATATAATTTTAGTTATATAGGACTGTAATTTTATATTTCACGACAACGATGAGAGGGACGGTGTCTCTCGCCGATCAGTATTGGCCGTGCTACCGGCGGCTGGCTCGCCGGTCAGAGGCCACTGTGTTACCGTGCTTCTCCGATCTCCATTATGGTGTGCGCTTGGGCTAGCTAGACACGAAAACCGACGTGCTGGTGTCCGACGTGCCGGCTGACGAGGCTGAAAAAAAACGTGAAATGTCAGAAAAAAATCACGCGAGTGATCGATAGCAAAATCGTTTCTTTTCTCCTCGATGCCGCACGATAACAAGTGTCTGATCGCATCTTTTTCCTCTTCCCTTCTATCCTCCCGTTGAACTGATGTCAACACCTCTGGCCATGAGTCCACGAGTCATGACCCTCAACACCGGAGTGGTTCATCGTCTCGTTGTGCCTAAGACCATCTCTCTCGCCAGCCGCCACGCCATTTAGATCCAGCCATGTTTCTTTCCCTTCAAGATCTTCACCGCATGCAACAAGCAAAGACCTCAAAATTTTTATTCAATCTGGTTTCCTTAGCTCTATTCTTTCATAAATTAACTAATTTGATATTTGCAAGCAAAATTATTGAAACTAGAATACAAGATTTGAATTTATTTTATTGCTGTTATTAATTTTCTAGACTGTAGGGCTAGGAGTAGTCAGTTTGAAGCAAAATTGTACGTCTCTATTGAAATATTATGGGCAATGACTTTATTATAGCGTACTAGTAACATGCACGTGCTAACGCTACGACGATATTTGACACGCTACAGTTATATGTGGCAATACAAATCAAAACAGTCAAAGAAAACATATATTTTGGCAATATAAGTATTTAAATATATAAAATTTTGAATCGTCAAGTAAATATATGCAACTAATTTTTTATGTACATTTGGCTTGAATCATAATTTCATATTCTCCATTTTTTGTTATATTCCAAAATATTCTTATAATATAATATTATCATCAGAATTTCACTTTTAAAAAACTTGCTTATCTTTCTTCGCACCTACAGCTTATACCATATAAGAGCCCATGCACATAACCCATCAACACATTTTTTTTGGAGGAGCTGGACTCAGTACTCCGGAGCCAACATGAATTAAATGCTAAGAGAAACCACATGAAACAGAGCTCTTGCCAATAGGAAGAAACCACATGAAACAGGGCTCTTACCAATAGGAAGAAAGATAATTATTCAGTCATATTTGTATAATACTACCTCAGTGTAGTTGTCGGTTTCGTGTCCAATTTTAAAAATAAATATGATTAGTATTTTTGGTGTTATTAGATGATAAAACATGGATAATACTTTATATGTGAGTTTTTTTAGTTTTTTCATACATTTTTCAAATAAGACGGATGGTCAAACGTTGGACAAGAAAATCCACAACTGCACTTATATTGGGACGGAGGTAGTAAGAACTTACTCTCTCCGTCCCAAAAATATAGGTACATCTAAGATTCAAATTTATCTCTAAATAGAACTACTTATCCCCATTAAATTTGTTTTACCTACTTTCTCATTTCAACCAGTCACAAATATTTCACACACATATCTTTTTTTAGAAAATAACATAGGTACTTGTATCTTGAGAGGTAGGGAGTGCATGTGTTCTACTTAGTTGAAGAATGGGGAAGATATGGCAAAGAGAGGAAAATATATAGTGCAAACCACATATATAGTGGAAACCTGGAAATTGTTGAATCGAAAAATGGACGTCTGAAATCCGTCCACGTCACCATGAGTAAATATTTTATTAGAGTAATTTTTTTACTCATGAGTAAATCTGCCAGTCTATTATTCGATCAACGGTAGTCTCTAGGTTTTCACTACATATGTGGTTTTCGCCACATATTTTCCCCAAAAAGAGTGACAAATTACGCAGGAATGTTGAATTAAGATGAACCGACAACAAGCTTAAGTTAACAAATAGAAAACCTGTGGTGTGGCGGGAGCAGGCTCCGGAGTGTGTTTTTGTTTTTTTTTTTTAGCTGATGATTGTCACCCACCTGCTGCTTGATTAATAAAGTTCTCATTTTACCCTTAAAAAAAAAGAAAACCTGTCTCATTTTCAATCTGACAAAGACTGTAACACTAAGGTTACTCTGATTATGTAAGAGACTAACATTAAATTGGTGGTGTTGGCTAATACTGGATCTGAATATTATGTGTTACTTCATTATTAGTTCAAGCACAGAACCATAGATAACTTGCTTCCAGCAATCAGAGGCACCTGCATCGGCGTATCAAACAAAAAGGTACAAAATCATTGAAAAGAGTGCAGTGCATGTGTACCAGTAACCTCATTCACCGGGTACCCGGATCACATTCCTTACCATAGACGCTAGCGAGGGATCGGATTGGGTATGAATGTGTCACCGGCGGGCGAGGCTTGGGCAGCCTCTTGCTGGCCCTGCCCGTGACGGCGTTGGAAGAGAAGCAGGAGATGAGAGAATAGAGAAGATAGATGGGAGTAGATTGGATCAATTGGTTGCTTTATTCATGAATCACTGGCCCTTTAATAGGCATACAATTAACTGAATTGTTGCTAATGAGACGGAAACAACCAACTAACTTAATCCTATCCATGCAAGCGCGATCACTGTTGCTCGTCCGGCAGTTGCAACGGTAGTTCAGGAGCCGGCGTTCTGAGCGCTATGGGCTGCCGCTGGCTCGCGATTCCTCCATTCGTAGATGATGCGACCATAACACCATTTTCTTCTGGGTTTACTCCCTTTGCCATGGCCTTTGATATTTGAAAATGAAGCATCCGTTGCAACATCACATTAAGATGTTGAAATCCATTAGAACAGCACCAAAGCCGTAGTTTGTAAACTTACAAGAAGTAATTTGTCAAGACCTTCCATCACAGGCAGATCCAAACTACTTAGGTCTGCAAAACACCAGAAAGTTAGATCTCCACACAAACGCGCGCATACAGACATGAAACCCCAATGTAACATCAAACTCTCCCGGGCAATCTCATTCACTGCTTGCGCCAGGGACATGATCTGCGGTTTGCACTTCTGCAACAAAATAATCAAAACACGCAGCCGCATCTTTTTTAATCAGGAGGCATCCATCCTGCCCCCCAAAAAAAAAGCTGCATACGTTCAAAGTAATTACGTAGCTATATGAATTGGAGCTCAGCAAAACTCGGTTCAATTCAGTCCATGGATCTTCCTAAGAAGTACACAGGAGAAGCTGACCCAATAAACTTGATCTATCATACACAACAAAAACTACCTTCTCTGCCCAAATTGCAGCTAGCCGAGGAAAACCATCTAACAATCCTAAATTTCTGTCATGCTGTAACACAACAACAAAAAAAAAATCAGTTACACTGTTAAACCCCCAAATCAATATATGTATCTCCAATTTTCCTCACTGAACAGCCCAAAATCTGCAGCTCTAAATAGTTTAATGCCAACCCAACACATGCATAAAGCAGAAAAATGCCAGAAGTACTGCAAAAAATGTTGTGTAAGGCAGTCCATGAAAGCAAATTTTATGAGACAAGCAAAATTCATAATTTGCCCTGAAAGCCAATGCAGAAAAGAGAAAAAAGAATTATGTGTATATTATCGTGGATAAATATATATGACTATTCAGTTGAAAAGGTTGTGTCCTGAAATTATTTTTGCTCAAAGATTGCTGCTGCCAGCCATTAGTTGTGGGAATGGTCAGCAGGCTTACTGCCACTTGCCGAGTTGCTAAAGATTTAACCTATTGGGTAAGCATTTTACCAACACACCGATGGAAGTCTTTAAAAAAATACCATAGCCACTCTGTTCATGACGATGGATAAATGAAGAAGGGGAGAACATGTGTACCTTTCATGGACGTATGCCCATACTTTTGTGCACTGCTCTGCTGTCAAAACATAGGAGCTGATTACTATGAATTGAAGGCCATCCAACAGGCCGAGAAATACCAACATGTGTCAAAGCATGTAAACCAACATTCTCCCTGCAAATACAAATTCACACTGCCATTTGGCAAAAGGAAAAAAACAAATTGTCTGAACAATCAATGAATGTCAGTTCTATTTATCCTCTGATGTTATATTTACGCTGCAACTGAGGCTCCATTGGCCATCCAAAAAAGGATCAATCAAGATGATGATACCCTCACAACGATGTTTTAGGATGATCAATATTCCAAATCAAAGACCGGACGAACTCCATGGTGCAAATAATAATTTGATTTATTTACCTGCCAACCGATGCCCTGGCTAATAATTGATGTAGGAACCATAGAGCTTGCATATCTTCTGGCAGCAATGAAAGTTCCTGTTGCATGTCTACAACTCAAAATTTTATTAGATTATAACTTCTACATGGACAACACATAATCACAGTTATTGGGACCGGACCGGACCGGCGGTTGGACCGGAAAAAACCGGAACCAAGGCCTCTGCCGGTTCGGTCCAGTTAAAAGATTGTATGTGCAAATGACCCGGTATAAACCGGTTGGGCCGGCCGGGTTTATTCGAAAACCGCTTAAAAGCCGGTCAGAAAACCGGCGCAGGACCACTCAACCGTGACCTGCTACTCTGCCGGACCACGTGCACGCATGGAGAAGGAGGCAGACCACGTGCAAGTGCACGCATGGAGAAGGAAATAAAGGAAAAAGGGGCGTATGGTGGGATTCGAACCCAGGATGGGCTGAATGGAGTTGTGGTGCACCAACCACCAAGCCATATTGTTGGTTATGTCTAGAGTGAATCAGTTATACTTAACCTTATTGAACCGACGGTTCAACCGGTCAAACCGGTGAACTAGTGAACCAAAGGCCTAGCCGATTTGATGGCCGGTCCGGTCTCAATAACTATGCACATAATACATTCTAGCATAACATTTTCTTTCTATTACTGAGCATGGTTGAAATACTGTAACGAATGAGTTAAGCAATCGTGGGCAAACAGAATAATGAGTAGTACAAAGCATAATTGAAATACTTTTTTTTTAAAAAAAAAGGTGCTCAACACAAACGAACCAGTCTTCGGAACTCCTCAATCTGTCTTCCTCTCCCACACAGTGAGGATGATAAGCTTCACGGCAGTCCATGAAAGCAAATTTTATGAGACAAGCAAAATTCATAATTTTCCCTGAAAGCAAATGAAGAAAGAGAGAAAGGAATTATGTGTATATTATGGTGGATAAACATATATGACTATTCAGTTGAAAAAGTTGTGTCCTGAAATTATTTTTGCTCAAATATTGTAGTACTGGCTAATGGACCTGTCATTCTTCATGAAAAATTCCATTTGAGGTTCTATAACAGATTAGGAAAAAGAACTGATGTCAGAGACCGCACTAAACCGATCGACGCAGCCGACAGCTATACACTGAGCCAACCAAATGAAATCAGACCAGAATTTATGCAAGTATTTATGTTAGCCATTTCAGTTAGCCTTATTTACTTGAATAATAGCAATAAGAGGTAATGATCTACTGTCACATGCGATCCAAACAGCTAGGCAATTCAACCAGTTTTGTCAGGAAGCATCTCTTTCTCATTGCTGACCATCCATGTTGGCCGTTTCAGTTGCATATTCTCAACCTGAACGTATGCATCACGGATCACCAACTTGAATGTATGGAACCACAAATCCACAGAAACAAGTAAAAGAGGGGAAACAGGTCTTACCTTCACTGCAAGCATATGAACAGGGGAATACAATCAGGCGAAGACGTGTGATATGGCGAGCAGCGGCATGACAGCGATCTGGTGGCGTGAAGGTGTCGAGGCAGCTCCTTATTTGATGGCGTCCAAAGGATTCTAGGGTTCTCGAGGGGGTCTGACAGCGAGGAGGAGGAGGCACCCTTGACATGACGGTGGAGAGGCGGCAGCGCCCCTGACCCGACGGCGACGAGGGTCGCTTGATCTGCGGCGGCGCTTCCAGACCGGAGGATTGGGGAGGGCAAAGGCGCGGGAGGAGGAAGTGACAGCGTTTTCTCGGGTGGCGCAGGGTAAGGCCGTGAGGAAGGGGATCGGAGGCCGCAATCGCGGGGGGTAGGAGGAGATCGCGCGGACGGGATTCTGGGGAAGGAATCAGGAGAGAGGATGACGTCCCCATCGATCGGGCGTGATTTTGGGGGATGGAGGCCGTGGGCTTGGTCGCTTGGAGGGGAACGATCCCGAACATCCAATTGCACGCAGAATGTCATTGGCCGTCCGATTTGACGAATGAGTAACGTAGGTGTAACACTCAGTTGATGCATTATAGGGTAGAATTGTGCAGATAGCCAGCTATTCTCCTTTTGCCTCAGGGCTATAAATGTCAGGCAGATATAGGGAGAAATTTCTCAAAAGCAAATCGCCATAAAACACCAACTATATAATTGTTCACAATTACCACCCTAATCAATGAGACATGAAAATATATCCTATCTTAAATTATTATTTCACGGTTATTCAGTTGCTAATTATGATGATTTTACTCTGTTTTATGTTGTAGGAGATTTGAGTATTCTCAGGATGGCTTATGATTTGAGTTTACATGATATTAACTTCTTTTGTCACATTTTGGTTAGCATTTTTTTATCGCTTCTTATTTGTTGTTGTAATTGTGTGCAGTTAAATTGTTCGTGTTATATGGTGATTTGCTTGAGCATTTTTATATTCCCCTATATGCATAGTCAGGGTTTACAAAACCGCGCGATTACCACACGATTATCGCGGTTACCATGCATGGTAACCTTTTCAGTCTTTTGAAACCACAGTATGTCCTGCGGTTACCACACGGTTTTCGCGGTAACTGCGCGGTTACCGCGGGGGTGCGGAAACCACGCCAAAAAGGTAAGAGGAACCCTGTGCATAGTGAAGTGGTGCACCCCTCAATTACTATCCAGCTCCACCAAACTGATCCTCATAATACACGTGAGGCTTAGGGGGCCTCTTCCTAAACCTAGCTCTCGCTGTTCAAGTTGTTTGCTACAGTGGGTGGAGAAGAGCACCCATCAAAGAGGACAAGATATATAGTGGAGCGACAAAGAAAGTGGAGGAGGATGCATGCAGTTGTTTTCAAAAGAAATTTGAAAATATACTATTTATTTTTTTCAAAAGTATTCGGGATACAATTTTTTTGGCAGAAATAAACGTCGATCTCGTACAACCGTTACGCGAAAATGACATGGGCATGACGAACTATCAATCTCGCAAAGGGAAACAGCGATATCGAACATTGTTGCATAAAGAAACAGCGGTACCGAATGTCTTGTTCAAGTGTGCCGCTTAAATAGTGATTAATTACCATAATTAGCGATTAATTAATAATAATTAGTGACTAATTAGTTGTTAATCAATGTGATTAAACAATAATCATTTGCTCTGTCGGCAGTCTCGCAGATTGGTTGTGCGAGACCGTATGCTCAACCGCGGCGCGTGGGGAGTGGTTCAGCGGTACCGTATCGCTTTTGCACTCTCACCACGCGGTATATTTGTGCCAAAAAAATTTAAATTCTAAAGATTTCTAAAGAAAATAAATAAACAGTATATTTTCAAATTTAATTCGTTGTTTTCCATGGTAGGGGAGGAGGAGGTAATGAAAGGCAAGGGGTGGCAACAGGGACAAGGATGCAGGTGGTGGTGATTCTCAAGCTCCCAGCTTCCCGCTTACCTCGATGGCTCAATGTCCACCGCTGAAGTTAGCCTCTGTCCATCTCATCTTTCGCCATCCACACACAATGGAGTTGAGGCATAGAGGTGGGAGAACAGGGCAGCTATGCCTGCTCGCATGGGCCGAAGTTGACCTGGTGATCCAAATCCCCAATCCTAGTCCAAGGTGCAACCAAATGCAAAGTTTTACGGTGTTAAGTGAAAATATTTGGTTAGACCAAGCCCGATATGAAACTTTGGTAAAAAGGTACACCGACGTGAAATTTACTAGAAAAAAGAATTTGTGGAGTCGAGCTACACCACTCTTGCTTTAACAATCATACCTTGCACGCAGAACGCATGAAACCCTATGATTCCAACTTCTTGTGGTTGGTGTAATATGAGGTGTACATGATGGCGTTGGTCCTCTCGAATCCCTCCTAAGCAGTTGTGCTACGTAGTTTGCCTCATTTGAACTCCTTCGACTCATATACTTGAGAGGGGAAGAAAAGGAGGAATCATTTGCCTCTCCTGTCCATGGCCACCACCACCGTCTCTCTCTCTTTGGTAGTTGTTGCCACCACCTCTCTTAGCTATAGCGCTTGTTTACCATCTTGTTTCCTCCATATTCCTCATTTTCAGCCGCTATCTCTCTTATGAGCCTGCCATCACATCTCTCATCTGCCGCCAACAGGATTGTTGTGGTGAGAAGTTTGGCCTCATAAACTTGGAGAAAAGTGCGTGGAATGAACACTGAATTTTCTTTAAATAAAATTACCTCTTTCGTTATATCAAAGGGGTCAAAGACATCAAAATGAGACTCTCTTGTATCCAAATGACAAATAGCACTAGCGGCGGACGAAATTGTTTTAGCCGTCCGATCATGTGGGTATGAAACTATGATCGCACAACCATAGCTGCCACCTCAACCAGTCTGTCTCGGTTGCTATCTTCCTTGCCGGTTTCACAATGACGATAGAAAGCCCGATTTCCCCTTTCTTGATGCCAACCGCAGTTGGAAGCCCTTCAGATCACATTCGGTGAGCGCCATTATCCTTCATGGTACCAGGCCTTGTCTTCTCACCGCTTAACATTGCGTCTCGCATTCCTAACCTCCTCTTTGTTGGCGTTTCCCAGGATTCACTCCCTCACCACACACGTGAGGAAGAAGAAGAATATCACTAAAAATAAACTCAGTTTGTGGGGACAAACACCGGTTTCTTGGCTATTTTTTATAACAAAGACACACACCACACCAAACACATCGTCTACTACATCTTTATACACACCGGCGACGTAGCGCCCACGCACCCAATTCTGCTACCTTCATGCGCACTCACGCCTGAAATCCGACAATACGGCCTGCACTCATTTGTGAGCCACTTGCTCCTCCACGAGACCTGATCAGGGTCGGCCCTAGGGGCGCGAGTGGTGCGGCCAATCTGGGCCCCCAAATTGGAGGGGCCCCACCCCCCTTGGAGTCCCAGGCATGAGGCCTGCCTGACGAGTGACGACCTGGCCCAACAGAGGAGGTGGAGCGTCGATGCATGCACGAAAGGAAGGCGTAAAAACAGACTCCGCGTGAATTGTCAGTCGTCAAGCGCCGCCCCTGCCGCCCACATCCTCTCATCAATCGTCGACTCCTCATCTCCTCCTTAGCTCCTGATCCTCACGGCGCTTGCGAGGCGGATTGGTGGCGTTTGGCGAAAATCAAAACAGCGTGTCGCTAGCCCCGCAGCAACGCCTCCGTGGCTGGTTTCCGGTGACCGGTGGCTGCGGCTTTCCACTGCTGTTCCAGCGAGGCGGCGACTGGCAGAACAGTTCCGCACTTCCGCTTCCCGGCTACCGGCTTCCACATGAGACAATAGACATGGTAATCACTAATCCTATAATTCACTAATCAATAAATCACTAGTCAGGTTCTCATGCGTGATGTGTGGCTGATGATGATTGATGAATGATGAGCGACAAAGTGTGGGGACACCCAATTTAGGCTTGGTGCCCCAAAAATCCACTCGTGATCGTCCAGGATTTCGATCACGTACAAATTGATATACAGAACAGCTTTCGATTATTTACATAGGTTTGTTCATACAAACTAATTATACAACTGTTAAAGGGTGAAAAGATCCAAACTAATATATCCTTATTTGAAATACAAGAAAATCCAAAGTACTAAACTCCTAAACTCTTCAACTATTAGAACTACAATTAATAAACTCCAAAGAATTCAAAGAACTCCACAGGCAAAAGCTTGAGTGTAGGCTAGCCTAGACAAACTTGTCGTTGCCGTAGATCTCGCTTCCTTCTGATCTCCTTGTTAGCATGATTCCTCTATATGTCAAATTATGCAAGGGTGAGTACTTATGTACTCAGAAAGACATATTATAAATAATTAAAGGTGAATAGATATGAATAAATAAACAATAATAAAGTAAAGAAATAATAAAAACCATAAATCATCTTTATCCTCAACATTTTAATTTTAAAACTACTTATACTTCAGGAGTAGGAATCACCCTGATGACACAACTCCAGAACCGGGAGTACGGCGCATTTGAATGATTTAATTCACCTCTGCAGAGACTATCCAGCTTTACCCACACGATGAGAACAGTTTGCAAGACTGAAAACACCATAGCCGCTCGAGAGTCCCACTTACTACTAGTTACTGCACAGTGGGGTCTTGGTTCATCATAGTGGTCAAACTCTTGCCAGGCCTAAGACAAGGTATCTATATCGTCACACTTTCATGAATCCCACTGTTGTGAAACACTGCCCCCTAACTCCTTACGCATGTTCACCCCAACCGCTCATTGAGCCACCCAACAGTCTTTCATATAGTGGGACAATGTACTAGGCTAAATCCAATTACTTGGTTGTGTGGATGGACGCAACTATGTCATTTCCATGGTATAAGGGGTAATTATAATCCGGTTAAACAACCAAAATTTTCCAAACTCCCCACACCAACAAACTTCATTATATATAACATTCAAAAATACCCATTTTAACTGGATTCCTAAGTTTCTAAAGATGTTTGAATAATAAACCACATAAAATGATCTCAAATGTATCTTTCAATAATATCATGTAATCATGCTTAAAAGCATTTAACATCTACCCATGAGATGTTAAAAGAGCAAATATCATGCATCAAATTTAAATATGAAGATTATATTAAGGTTTCTATATGATCAAAATTTTAATTATGTCTTGCCTTGCGCCTTAAGATTTCCCGCGGCTTCAGCGTAGCCATCTGGGTCCACATCAGCTCCTTGGATGCTGATAAAACTTGCTATACGGTCTAACGTATGAATACGAAAAGATGGCAAATAAAACCTATAAGCAATTTGCTAAAAAGAAACAATAAAACCATGGAATAAAATTGGAGCGAAGCGAGAGGAAAAAGGAATGATTCAAGATAACTTTTAATTTGAAAATAAAAGAGAGGTGATGGTTTCTATAGGTTGAAAATTGAATAAAATCGAAGAAAGGATAATTTTGGATAGGTGGGGTTTATTTGGTGGATT